CGAAAATCAAAATGCGGAAGAATAGAATTTAACAGTTTAACTTAATACTAATACGAAATCCATAATAAAACTCCACCCAAAACTGGTGTCAGAATTTCACGGACTGTCTACGAATACTACAAATAGTGGTCTGAACAAGAAAATACAAATCTGTCTCAGAAATAGATAAAACAGAAAAGAAGCAGGATAAATGGGGACGCCAAGGCCTGCGGTCGCCTGCAGGACTACCTCGGGTCTCCACTGGACTGAAGGCAGCAACCTCGATCTACGGTCCGTGGTCCAGTACCGGGATCTGCAAAAAAGGTGCAAAGTGTAATATTAGTACAACCGACCACATGTAGTGGTAAGTGTCGAGCCTAACCTCGGCGAAGTAGTGACGAGGCTAGGACACGACCAACATCATAAATCTGTACAGTTAAGCAATACCTAACAGAATAATAACAACAAAAGCTAAACACAAATTTACGGGAAGGGCAACATGCTCTGGGGAATACCAGAATAGGAAAACACAGATATAACATAAACGAAACAATTAAGGCACATGAACTGATAACAGCAAATAACCAGAACAACAAAAAATATGCACGACATCACCCTTCGTACTTTATCACTCTTTCTCACCATGTGAATAATAGGAATGTGCACGGCATCACCCTTCGTGCTTTATCACTCTTGCCTCACCATATGCATAAGTATGAATGTGCACGGCATCACCCTTCGTGCTTTATCTCTCTTTCCTCACCCAAACAGTAGAAACAAGAACATCCCGGCAAGGGAATCAATAATAGAAACAAATACATCCCGGCAAGGGAATCAGCTATAACCAATCTCGTTTCAACAGTTAACTTCGCAAAACAAATCTCAACTGGAGCCAATACTCAACAATGGTCAACTACCGAGAAAAATACCATCAACATGGATAATCATCAAGTTAAGCATGAATAGTACATAATAAGAATCACAACGGCCACAGTTTAAGACTTACGGGCATGCTTGACACCAACGTATAGATACTCGTCACCACACCTATACGTCGTACGCAACACTAACATGTAGCAAATAAGACATAACAACTATTCCCTCAAGACAAGGTTAGGCTAAACACTTACCTCGGATTCCACGGCCAAACTCAAGCCTCAAATACCGCTTTCCCTTTAGATTCCACTTCCAATTCACTTGTATTTAGCCATAATTAACTTAACAACATCAATAAATGCTAAAGAATTCAACTCCAATGCTCTATTATAGGTTTTCTATCATTTTCCCCAAAAAGTCAAAAATCGACCCGGGGCCTGCTTGGTCAAAACTCGAGGTTCAGACCAAAACCCGATTACCATTCACCCACGAGCCCGAATATGCAATTAGTTTTGAAATCCGACCCCAAATCGAGGTCTACATTCCAATTATACAAAAAGCCCTAATTCTACCCAAATCCCCAATTTCTACCATGAAAACCACAAATTTTTGGACGAAAATTGATGAAATGCAATGGGTAACTGAAAGAAAGTGGCTTAGAATCATATACCAACACTTTGGGGAAGAACTTGTCTCTTGAAAATTGCCTCTATGCCTTCTAGTTTTTGAAAATATGAAATTATGGCCTTATTCCCGTTCTGTTTCTGTTTTAAGTGCCGGGCGACAGTGTTCATAGCGTTCGCTTGAGCACTGTGGCGTCGCGAAGAGCATCCTTCTAAGGACTTATGCGATCGCGGGAACGGCTACTCATTCGCGAAGGTTTAGCCCAGCCCTTCCTTCGCGTTCGCGGTAACGGGTTCGCGTTCGCATAGGTTTTCCCTAGGTTCCCTGACCAGCCCTCCTAAAGCTACGCTTTCGCAGTTGACCGGTCGCGTTCGCGTAGAGCAGTCCCCCCCAATGCTCTGCGTTCGTGACCTTGGTCTCGCGTTTGTCGACGCCCACTTTTTTTTTCCTCGCGGAATCGGGTTCACGACATTTGGGAAGACAACTCTTTTCCCACTTTGGGAATTGGTTTTTTTTTGAGAGTTTGGAGAGTCTCCACCTAATGATTATAGTGCATTAGGACACTTTTAGAAGAATTAAAGATGCAGACCAGAGTTTTGGGTAAGGGCTTGAAATTATCTCGAGGGGAAGGTGTTAGGCACCCCTCAAGATCCACTAGTGTGGTTCCCGGCCATGCTACAATTGTGACTTTAGATGTAAATGTAAATAAACAAGTACAACAAGCACAAAAGGTTAAAAGAAGTGCTGAATTTTAAAGGAGCAATTTTTGTAAAAAACGTGCAAGTAGAGGAAAAGGTCAAGTACTTAGTGCAAATAATCCGAAAGATCATGCGAGAAGCAGAAATTGAAAATGCAATAGCTTTAAAGATTCAGAAAATTTTGTTAAGAATAAAGAAGGAGAAAAGGGTCCTAGGTTTATACATTACATGGATCATTCGCACAACACTGGTACTCAGTTGTACGCGGAGTGTTATCGTGTAATCATCATCTCCATGTCTACCCTTCCCACCCCGTTAAGGTATTAAAGCGCGGAACGGTATCGTTTACTTTTCGCATGCTACTACCCGTCCCAATCCTATTAGTCCCGGGGTATTAGGACTTCTAATCCTAAAGGGGAAGAAAGGGATGAGGGCCTTTGTGGAGTTTAAAGGATAAAGTTCTAGCTCGACATTCAAAACAAGTATCAAGTAAAAGGGGAGGACAAGCAAGCATACAAGGCTCAAATTAACCCCAGAAGTCAAACAATCATTTAGTTTAGCATGCCTTGACAAATACTGATTTGGTCTTAGAATAAATTAAGCAGCGAGCGGACTGGTTCAACACATGTATTTAAACAGAGAGTCTGCATTAGGCAACTCGGATACAGTTTTCAGGGACTGACCCAATTCATTAATTAGCCAACCTTTGTTTATGAGTTGAAATAAAAACCTAGGCGTAGGATCTATTAATTTCAAGAAAAAAGATGCAAAGAGTTACCAGTAGTTTCAGAAAAGATGCAAGTTGATTTTAGAAAAAGAATTATCAGTTTAAACAAAGAGAAAAGATGCAAACCGATTTTAGAAAAGAGTTACCAGTAGTTTCAGAAAAGATGCAAGTTGATTTTAGAAAAAGAATTATCAGTTTAAACAAAGAGAAAAGATGCAAACCAATTTTAGAAAAGAGTTACCAGTTGTTTCAGAAAAGATGTAGACTGATTAAAAGGTTTACGAGTTTCGGGGGAGTGCAGATTGGTTATAGGAAAAGGTTTACCAATTTTAGCGGGTTTTAGAAGTAGAAAATTACCAGTTTTAGTAAAGACACTAGTTCCAGCAATCGATACTGCTTAAGAACGAATGATGCTATTAAAGACGAGGTTTCCTATAGGCATGCTTTCTATACGTTTACCGATTTTAACACCCTTCCATGACATTAATAGGAGTCTTATACACATGATGTCTATATGCAACTTTGTTATTGAGCCTATAAACGGTTTGCCTAATGAAATTTGTATATGCAGAAATGCAAGAGCCTATAGACATGATCTCTATATGTGTCATTACAGAAAATGAATGTTAAATCCTATAGACATGCTTTCTAGGTGGTTTTGTGGTAAAGTTAAGCGTTAAATCCTATAGGCATGGTCTCTATGTGATTGAATCAGTATTAAAGACCCTATAGGCAGGACTTCTAGTTTGAATAAAAATCCTAACTCATGATTTCTACCCTTTGGATGAAAGAAAAGTGAAGACCCCTCCCACACCCTTTTACTATACTCCCCGAGTTTCATACAAAATTATTACAATCCAATGAATCAAACTGGAAATTAAAAGATACATCAAAAGCTAACAGCTAGATCCGAGTAGCCTAATTCAACCTTAATGTCTAATAACATGCGACTGAGCCACTTCCGGGATCCAGATTTCCAAAGCCTTCTCTTTATCCAAGGTGTTTCAAAGTTCCAAGGAATCTCAGGGATTCCTGGCATTGCTTACACCCAGGATACTATCAGAATTAGAATAGTGCAGTGTGGAAGAGCCAACTCTCATGCAGCCAAGTTCAGGGGGAGCTCAGGGGGTCCCAAACCATGGCTTGCAAGAGAGGGACAGAACTTATAGCTAAGAGTAAGTGCAAAGTGAAAGGGGAATTGGGGAGCCATGACAGGTGGTGGTCATACCTAGCTACAAAGTAGGCTGGCACACCCCTGACCACTTGTTTGGTTGAACAAGTTAGGAGCAGACCTTTTGAAGGTTAGACCAAAGTCTAGATAGTGATTAGGACACTATCAGACCCCAGTCCAGGGCTCAGACACATAAAAGGGGAAAAAGGAATGGGCATTGATTGAGTTTGGGATTCAAAGAATCCAGTTCAGGATCATAGACAGCAAATTGGAGTGTTGTTATGCCCTGAACCATAACTCACATACAAAGGGTAAAGGGTAAGGGGATTCACATAGGAACAATAATGACAAAGTTGCAGAAAAACAGTAAAGGAAAGCATAACAGAACTAGGATGTGAAACACATAGTGGAGGAGCAGTATTTAAACTAAGATGGACATAC